ACATTCTCTGACAGCTGTCCTCCACCATCCACACTACATTCTCTGACAGCTCTCCTCCATCATCCACACTACATTCTCTGTCCGCTCTCATCCACCATCCACACTACATTCTCTTACAGCTCTCCTCCACTATCCACACTACATTCTCTGACTGCTCTCCTCCATCATCCCCACTACATTCTCTGACAGCTCTCCTCCACACTACATTCTCTGACTGCTCTCCTCCATCATCCCCACTACATTCTCTGACAGCTCTCCTCCACACTACATTCTCTGACCGCTCTCCTCCACCATCCACACTACATTCTCTGACATCTCTCAATCATCCACACTACATTCTCTGACAGCTCTCCTCCACACTACATTCTCTGACAGCTCTCCTCCACCATCCACACTACATTCTCTGACAGCTCTCCTCCACCATCCACACTACATTCTCTGACAGCTCTCCTCCCACCATCCACACTACATTCTCAGACATCTCTCCTCCCACACTACATTCTCTGACAGCTCTCCTCCACCATCTACACTACATTCTCTGACAGCTCTCCTCCCACCATCCACACTACATTCTCTGACAGCTCTCCCCTCAAGGTTTGCAGTAGCTTCTCTTGATGGATCCTCTCAAAGTCCACTGCACACCAATGTGAGGAACATTCTTCTTCCTGATAAACTGCTGCCAAGGATCTACGAGAGGGGAATGAGGTGCCTGCAGGGTGGGGGTCGTGTCACCATATTGTCAGATCTGTTTGGCCGGCCTCAATGCCGATTGGCTGGGAAGGAGGCTTTGCGACCAATCAGCGTCGAACCGGCCAAACAGAATGGACTCGGCTTCCCGGGCAATCCAGAAGCCAGCCGGTGGGTAATGACATGCCTCCTGGCTTCCTGATTGTTGGGAAGCCGGCTCTATGCTACCAAGTGCATAAACTCATTCATCTCTCTGTACAGGCCTCTGCACCCATGTGATGAGTCCGAGTGTTTTCATATCCTCCAGTTGTTCTATGCACTAAACAGTTCCACCTGATAAAATCCATCGTACATTTGTCATCAGAATCAGCAGGAACTTCCTCTCTGATGTTTTACAGATAAAAGAAGTTTAATTAGACATTTCCCCCCGTCGGAAAGCAGTGAGGCTGCTCCGTAGTGTGACTTTTCTGGTGTCTAAGAAATTTATATTTCTCAGTGAAGGATTTCCCGAACTCTGAACATGAATAAGGACGCTCACCTGTGTGAATCCTTTGGTGCTTAACAAGGGTTGCTTTCTCAGTGAAAGATTTCCCGCACTCTGAACATGGGTAAGGACGCTCACCTGTGTGAATATTTTGGTGCTGAAGAAGGGTTCCTTTACGAGTGAAAGATTTTCCGCACTCTAAACATAAATATGGGCGCTCACCAGTGTGAATTCTTTGGTGTATCAGAAGGTTATGTTTCTCAGTGAAATATTTTCCACACTCTGAACACGAATAAGGACATTCACCAGTGTGAGTTTTCTGGTGTGTAACAAGATGATCCTTCTCTTTGAAAGATTTCTCGCACACTGAACATGAATAAGGACGTTCACCAGTGTGAATTCTCTGGTGTTTAACAAGGGCTCCTTTCTCAGTGAAAGATTTCCCGCACTCTGAACATGCATGAGGACGCTCACCTGTGTGTCTTCTCTGGTGTCTAAGAAGCTTTTTGTTTTCAGTGAAAGATTTCCCGCACACTGAACATGAGAATAGATTCTCACCCCTGTGATCTTCTTTATGCAATACAGAAGATTTCTCCGGATTAGATGGATCTCTTGCAGTGTGAGATCTTAGATGGATATTTCTAGTCATAGTATGTGAATGATCAGAAGATTCACCCTGATCAGAGGGATCCATTGATGTCTCCGAACAGTGAGGTCTGTGATGTATATTTTGTGTGTTTGGATTCACTCCTGGAGAATCCTGTGTGATGGCATTATCTTCTGACTTACAACCAGCAGATAATATAACATGTCTCTCCGAGGTATTCCTGACATCACATCCATCTGCTGGAGAGAAATTGTTTAAATAATGTGAAAAGATCAGAAAAAAGAGTAATGTATGGTTATCTGACAGTCAACAGTTTCCAAATATAATAACAAATGAGATAAAAGGATAAAAACACCCAAACCTATGACACACTGGGCAAAATAGTTTGTGAATTAATGAAAGCTATGGGGGGGTACCAGAGACAGACCTTTTACTAGACCCTTGTGGAAACATGGTGTTATATTGAGGAATGGAGATGGACCTTCATATGGTGTACAGTATCTCCTCCTCATTTGTTGGTCACATGACGTTATATTGAGGAATGGAGATGGACCTTCATATGGTGTACAGTATCTCCTCCTCATTTGTTGGGGACATGACGTTATATTGAGGAATGGAGATGGACCTTCATATGGTGTACAGTATCTCCTCCTCATTTGTTGGTCACATGACATTATATTGAGGAATGGAGATGGACCTTTCATGGTGTACAGTAACAAGGTAAAGAACCTTTGGTCACATGACATTATATTGAGGAATGGAGATGGACCTTTCATGGTGTACAGTAACAAGGTAAAGAACCTTTACCAGGCAGAAAGAAAATGTGAGAGAGGACAGCTTCAGAATCCTCTCTCCCACTAAAAGGTGAAACAAATGTTCATAGTGAAACAAAAAGGGATACCTATACTCTAAAGCAGCAATTCAGAATATTGGCTGCCAACAAAGTGGAAGTGAGTGTTACAGAGTAAACGTTAGGTAGAGAATGAATAGGCCCAGAGGTTAGATGCCGTGCCTCCCAGTGAAACGTGTGAAAAATTCAGATTTCTCCATCCAGGGTTTATAGCGATGTTTGCCTTCCTCTGGATCAGCTGCAGGTTTTGGATAATTTTTTCCAATTTGGATAATATTTTCCAATTTGGATAATATTTTCCATGAAAACCATCATTCCTCCATGACAATGGACCCAGCATGTGTATGTAGAACATTTGATGAGAGTTTATTTGCTGTAAATGACCCCCAACCATCCTAACACTAATCAGGAGATGACGACCCCTTCATCCTACAATAGGGGAGATGACTTCTTCTGGGGAATCTTCTTCCCAACTTTGATGGTCCACCATTTATAATTTAGTCTCATCTTATCTGATGATGTGAAGATCTGATAATTCTCCAACATGATCCCTTAACCACTTGCTGACCAGGTGTTTCACCCCCTTCCTGTCCCGGCCATTTTGTCAGTATTCAGCGCTGCGGTACTTTGAATGGCATTTATTCCGTCATGCAGCGCTGTACTGAAACGAATTTCATACCATTTTTTGGGGACAGATAGAGCTTTCTTTTGGTGGTATTTAATTACCACTGGGGGTTTTTATTTTTTACTATATAACAAAAAAAGTACCCTAAATTTTGAGAATAAACATGTTTCCCTATAAAATGTTAGGAAACATTTATTATCACCCCAATTTTTTGGTAAAATATAAATGTCGGGGTCACGTCGGGTAAATAGACACCAAACATGTCAAGCTTTAAAATTGCGCGCGCCCGTGAAATCGCAGAAAACGACCGCAACCAAAATTGACCATAGGCGACGCTTTAAAAGTTTTTACCGCTCATCAGTTTAATGTTATCAGTGATTGATGCCCTAAAATTATTGCTCTCACTCCGACGTTGGCGGCGATATATAACATGTGCTGCAAAATGGGCGTAATTGTCGTTTTCGTACATAGGCGCACCCGTCGCATGTTTGCGTGTGTATGTGGGGGGGCGGGGGACTTTAAAACATTTTTTGTGTTATTTTTTTTACCTTCTTTATTTTTTTTTAATGCTGTAATTTTTTTTTTTTTTATACTTAACTTTCCTGCTATCACATAGGGGACTAAGAAATCCTAGGGACCCCCAGAGAACCCCCCTGATGTCACCTAGGGACCCCCAGAGAAGCTGATGAAGCACAGATCTGCTTCATCAGCTTCTTTCCGGTGTTCTGCACCAGAGAGTGACACTGAATACAGGAAGTGATGTAATATACATCACTTCCTGCATTCGGAGACACGAAAAGAGATCAAAGGGAGATCAAGTAATGATCTCCCTTTGATCTGCTGTTAGAGCGTCGCCGTGCTGGTCCCAGCGGATTACGGGACCGGCATCGGCGGCGAGGAGACTGCGGGACGGAGGAGACGGCGGGACGGGGTACGGGGGGGGCGCACACCCGCAAGCGATTGGGCGTCATGTAAATAGCCATCGCTGGCTGTTTACATGCTCACAGTTTTCCCTCTCGTGTGCACGCTGAGCGCCGCACACGAGAGGGGGGAGTGGCAGGACGTCTTAAGACGCCCTCCCACTCCTAGCAGACTCCCGTCCGGCCGTTCACAACCGGCCATGGGCGAAAGGTGGTTAAACGTCACACCTTCTACTCAGAAGTGACATAGAACTGTGACCTGTTCCCTCCGTAGTGTCTGTTACTTACTTGTGTTGCTCGGTAGAGAAATGTCATCCTGATCACTTTTCATCATCATCCCAACCTCCTCCGTGGACGGCCGGTCACCCCCCACATACGTCTCCACTTCTTCCTCTTTAACCTCAGCTTTTATATTGTTCTGTTCTTCACCCTAAACCCCAAAATAATAGAAAACATCTCATAAAGCTGATATCAAGGACATAAGTGAATTCAGCCCTTCATTCAATAATACTAGGGATGTCACGATACCACTTTTTCAAGACCTTTCCCTCAGGTAATTGCCGATACCAATTACGGATACTTTTTCCTAAAGGGACATGTGACATTTTTTGTGAAACAATACAGACTAATGATTTTAGGGCAGTTCCTCACCAGGCTCCGTCCAGATCTCACCAGAGCCGAACACAGATGTCACCAGAGCCGAACACAGATGTCACCAGAGCCGAACACAGATGTCACCAGAGCCGAACACAGATGTCACCCGAGCTAAATACAGATGTCACCCGAGCTAAATACAGATGTCACCCGAGCTAAATACAGATGTCACCCGAGCTAAATACAGATGTCACCAGGCTGTGTCCAGATGTCACGAGGGCTGGCAATGAGTTTCTCCAGGGCTGCTTATAGATGTCACTAGGGCTGTCTATTGGGTCTCTCCACGCCTCTGTTGATAGGTGCTGGGCTGAGCCCGCTCTACGTGTGCGTAGTGAGCTGAACGGAGCAGGAGCAGGTCTCCTGCACACTCCAAGGCTGTATTCAAGGTGTGGGGCTGCCTCGAGCTGTGCCTGCACCAGGAATCAGGAGGAGGAGATGTGGGACCTGGCCCTGGCTAGGTATAGCAGAAATGGGGAAGGAGAAGCAGCACAAGGAGCCAGTCAGCTGTACTGCAGGGCTAATAAGAGTCATGCTGACTGGAAGAGAGAGCGAAGTGACAGAGAGATGAGCTCATCAATCTGCTGCTTCTCCTTTTACTGTCCAGTCAAAGACTGAGGAAGGGACAAACCAGGAGATGTAACTGACCTGCAGGAGAGAAAAGTCATGTCTCCTGCTCTGCCCATTTCAGGGCAGGTCTTCTACCCAATTCCTGAGCCCAGGGGGGCAAGGACCTTAGCCTTGGAAGCCCATCATCACGCCGGCCTAGACGCATAGAGGCAAAGAACAGCACCACATAATTTTGCATCTGCCCTTTAGAAGGACACAAGGATGAAGAGGATACATGATGTCACGTGACTGGACCCAAGACACGTAGAAGAAAAGTATGTATATTGATTTATAGAAAACAATAAAAGTGGGAGTTTCTCCAAGGGTAAGTTGAAATGGAGGCGGGGCTATTTAGATGTAACGCAAACATGAAACCAATGGACTACATAAAAGTATGTTGCATCATAGTGGTGGTATGTTGCATATAGCGAGTCTCACCTACCTGACCATGGTGAGGGATGTTCTGATCTTCCTGTGTGGAATCCCGGGAATACAGAGGACGGGGACATCTCTCTGGTGGGTTCCTCTTACTGGATCCATCTGTAGGAAACACACACACTGACTGAATACATTGTTTCTATGTGTATGGGGGATCTAGGTGGACTCTCTGTACGGCTCTCTCCTCTTACCCGTTGATGAGGGGGGATCTAGGTAAACCCGTCGTACTTATGTCTGCTTTACAATAAATTTGAGGGAGATGTAGACGTGACGTGATGATGTGAAGGTCTACAGATCCTCAATCATCAGTCCAAACCAAAAACATGAATAGTTTCTGAATGTATTTTTCATTACTCACTTGTGCTTATATCTAGAGAAGATTCCTCCGGCTTAGTTGTCACCATCATCCCGACCTTCTCCATAGTCTGCTGATAATTCATCACAGACGTCTCTTCTTCTTCCTCTTTTAGCTCAACTTTCATATCCCTTCGTTTTTCATGCTAAACCAACAAAATAACAGAAAATATTATCTTAGAAATGTTGGCACTGATGACTTAAAACATCAAGAAGAATATAATCTGAAAGTCTTCAGGAACCTTTGTAATCTAGACCGTACCTGATCCTGGTGAGGGATGGTGAGATCTTCCAGTGTGGAATCCCGGGAATACAGAGGACGGGGACATCTCTCTGGTGGGTTCCTCTTACTGGATTCATCTGTAGGAAACACACACACTGACTGAACACATTGTTTCTATGTGTGTATCAGATGATGGGGGATCTAGGTGGACCCTCCGTACTGCACTCTCCTCTTACCCGGTGATGTGAGGGGCGGCTCATTCTCCATCACGACGTCCTTGTAGAGATCCCGGTGTCCGTCCAAATACTGGAAACTTCTAGAATATTTTATCACGGTTTGTCTCTGTTGTCAGGCAGTGAGGTGGAGGCTCTGTGATGGGTGATGTCTGCTGAAGATACTTGCTGAGTGTTAATGGCTCACAAGATATATTGGTCACTATCCTGTAATCCTGTTTGAAGGGAGAAGGTAACAATTATCAATGAAAACTTCCCAGAATCCTCCTGAGCAGTCTTTTAGAAATCAAACAGTCACATGATCTAAAGAAGACTCTCTGTAGAAAAATGCTGAATTGCTCAGAGTGTCAGATCTTGTGGGATAGTCTGAGATTATGGACACTGTCCTGCAGTACACATGCCTCCAACTCACGTTTCACTCCTATAGCACTTCCTGTGTATACACCTACATCACTTCCTGTTTGTACTTTTACATCATTTACTGTCTATTCTATTCCAAATCCAGACAATAAAGTAATAAAATACAAAATGTGTTTGAATATTATAGTCAGACACTATTATTATACATTTATATATCACTGACATATACTGCAGTGCTGTTCAGAGATCACTGAGCAAGTTACTGCACCAGAGGAGCTTACACTCTAATGTCTCTCCATGGTAACAAACTATGTGACTGGCTCAGTGTTCTGTGTACAGCACTGCGGTATATGTCAGTGATATATAAATGTATAATAATATGGGGGGTGTCTGTGGTGAGGTCTGAGGTAAATCTCTGTATGTGGAGAGAAGAATCTGCCCGGTGACTCTGATAGGTTACTGTGGAGGGAGTGCAGACAATGACAGTGGAGGAGGTGTGAAATCTGAGGTAAATCTCTGTGGAGAGCAGAATCTGCCCGGTGACTCCGATCCCACTGTGATTGGTTCCTGTGGAGGGAGTAACAGTGGAGGAGATGTGATGCGGGGACTCTGATTGACTGTGAGTCTCCCCTCAGCTCCTTCTGTCAGTTACTGAAGTCTACATCTTGTTTTAGATTAGTGACAGAAGTGATGGAGGAATGGGCTGGGGGGGAGAGGGGGTTCTGTTCACTTCTTTCCAACTTGGAATCTCCTCCCTACAACCCCGGAACCGGATGGTGGAGAAGTAAGTATGTTACACCTCCTTCTGTAACGATCTCTCTGAGACTCTACTGAATACAATGCCTGAGGTTTGTACACTTACCCCATATAGACCGGTAACACATAGACTTACAGCGGCCAGGAGAGGACAGGCTTGGGCCTGGAAATCTCCGTCTCTCCCCTCTGCCAGTGTGAAAGCTCTGGTGTCTCCGGTCATGTTCTATGAGAAGCTTACTGCTAGACATAAAGCTTCTCTACATATAAGACATGGACTCCTTGGATTGTCGCCTCCTTTATTATGGATTCCTGAACTCTCTAGTTTCCTGATCTGTATTGGGCTGGTTGGTGCTGCGTGCTATCTCCCTATTTGAGGGTTTACCCCCCTTGGATGTGTTCTGGACCTTTCGTGTTCCTGACTTCTTCTTTCCCCTTTCTTCCCTCTCATCTGTGGAAGGCGGCTCTCCCTCTCCCCTATTATCTCTCTTCCTTCTATTCAGTTTCCTTCTTCTCGTTTCCTATTCTCTTAGTTTTGGTTTGGTGCCCCTTGCCTGGCCTACCTCTTATTGGACGTGGGCAGTTTGCTATGATTCACGTGTCACTTATATTGCCCCATGTATACTTGGGGACGTACGGGCCCCTCATAATGTGTGTATTTGGAATGTAGCACTTCATCACGTTATTGGATCTCTTTGTTGTTTCACTCCTCAGCTATCTCAAGTGTATTTCGAGGACCTGTGTTAATTTCTTTGCCTGTTCCTTTAAATAAAAACGTGTGAACGAAAAAAAATCCATCACTTTGACAACGTTTTATTGGTTATAATTATGACAAAACAAACTAAAAAAAATGATTCACAAGTTTGTAAAGTACACAAATTAATTGTTCAAATATATACAGTTTAGACAATGTTTTAAAATGATTCCCAACGATGAAAAGTCACCGGCACACACATTGTTCCCTCAGAAGTTCCCACACCCTGGTAGAGACGTTCTTTTATCATCAGACTCTACATCCCCCACACACACATTGTTTCCTCAGCATTTCAACATCACTAATTTCTGTCTGCACCCCTGTGTTGTCACTGATTTCCGCCCATGTCTGTACTACATTCCCTGGTAGCTCCCACCATCCACACAATATATTCTACAGCAGCTCCTCCCTCCCCGATCCATACCATGATCACTTGAAGCTGTCCTCCACCATCCACACTACATTCTCTGACAGCTCTCCCCTGCCATTCACACTACATTCTCTGACAGCTCTCCTCCACCACCCACAGTACATTATCCAACAGCTCTCCCCTGCCATCCACACTACATTCTCTGACAGCTCTCCTCCCGCCATCCACACTACATTCTCTGACAGCTCTCCTCCCACCATCCACACTACATTCTCTGACATCTCTCCCCCACCATCCACACTACATTCTCTGACAGCACTCCCCCACCATCCACACTACATTCTCTGACAGCACTCCCCCACCATCCACACTACATTCTCTGACAGCTCTCCCCTCATGGTTTGCAGTAGCTTCTCTTGATAGATCCTCTCAGAGCCCACTGCACATCAATGTGAGGAACATTCTTCTTCCTGATAAACACTAATTTAAAAAGTTCTTCTGCACTGACCACCTATGTAAGAAAGCCATTCACATACAGCTGTGCTCACATACAAGCTTTTGCTTACATACAAGAATGGGTGAGCAGCTCTGGACACAGTCTGTTTACATCCGGGGCCGCTCATCTGTCCCTGTATGGATATAAAGGATTGGATTTACATACAGCGGTGGCATCTGTCAGTCTGCTAATAACTGCTGCCTGCGGCTGAAGGAAAGCACCTGGAGACTCCTGGGGGCCACCCAAGTGCATAAACTCATTCATCTCTCTGTACAGGCCTCTGCACCCATGTGATGAGTCCGAGTGTTTTCATATCCTCCAGTTGTTCTATGGACAGTTCCACCTGATAAAAACCATCATACATTTGTCATCAGAATCAGCAGGAACTTCCTCTCTGCTGTGTTACAGATAAATGAAGTCTAATTAGACATTTCCCCGAGTCGGAATGCAGTGAGGAAGATCCGTAGTGTGACTTTTCTGGTGTTTAAGAAGCCGATATTTCTCAGGGAAGGATTTCCCGCACTCTGAACATGAGTAAGGGCGCTCACCCGTGTGAATTCTCTTATGTTTACGAAGGGTTGAACTATGAGTGACAGTTTTCCCGCACTCTGAACATGAATAAGGACGCTCACCAGTGTGAATTTTCTGGTGTATTACAAGGTCTCCTTTCTTAGTGAAAGATTTCCCGCACTCTGAACATGAAAAGGGACGTTCACCTGTGTGAACTCTCTTGTGTATAACAAGGGCTCCTTTCTCAGTGAAAGATTTCCCGCACTCTGAACATGAAAAGGGACGTTCACCTGTGTGAATTCTCTGGTGTATAACAAGGTCTCCTTTCCGAGTGAATGATTTCCCGCACTCTGAACATGAATAAGGACGTTCACCTGTGTGAATTTTCTGGTGTATTACAAGGTCTCCTTTCTTAGTGAAAGATTTCCCGCACTCTGAACATGAAAAGGGACGTTCACCTGTGTGAATTCTCTGGTGTTTAACAAGGGCTCCTTTCTCAGTGAAAGATTTCCCGCACTCTGAACATGAAAAGGGACGTTCACCTGTGTGAATTTTCTGGTGTATAACAAGGTGTCCTTTCCGAGTGAATGATTTCCCGCACTCTGAACATGAATAAGGACGTTCACCTGTGTGAATTTTCTGGTGTATTACAAGGTCTCCTTTCTTAGTGAAAGATTTCCCGCACTCTGAACATGAAAAGGGACGTTCACCTGTGTGACTTCTCTGGTGTTTAACAAGGGCTCCTTTCTCAGGGAAGGATTTCCCGCACTCTGAACATGAATAGGGACGTTCACCTGTGTGAATTTTCTGGTGTCTAACAAGGTGTCCTTTCCGAGTGAATGATTTCCCGCACTCTGAACATGAATAAGGACGCTCACCAGTGTGAATTCTCTGGTGTATAACAAGTTGTGTTTTATTAAAACATGATTTCCCGCACTCTGAACAAGCATGAGGACGTTCACCCGTGTGAATTCTCTGGTGTCTAAGAAGGATTTCGTTTCTAGTGAAAGATTTACTGCACTCTGAACATGAAAAGGGACGTTCACCCGTGTGAATTTTTTGGTGTTTAACAAGGGTTGCTTTCCGAGTGAAAGATTTCCCGCACTCTGAACATGAATAAGGACGTTCACATGTGTGAATTTTCTGGTGTCTAAGAAGGGTTTTGTTTTCATTGAAAGATTTCCCACATACTGAACATGAGAATGGCTCCTCACCTCTGTGATCTCTTTCATGGGGGGAGGAAGGTTCCTTGGGATTAGATGGATCTCTTGCAGTGTGAGATCTTAGATGGATATTTCCAGTCATAGTATGTGAATGATCAGAAGATTCACCCTGATCAGAGGGATCCATTGAGGTCTCTGAGCAGTGAGGTCTGTGATGTATATTTTGTGTGTTTGGATTCACTCCTGGAGAATCCTGTGTGATGACATTATCTTCTGACTTACAATCAGCAGATAATATAAGATGTCTCTCCGAAGTATTCCTGACATCACACCCATCTGCTGGAGAGAAATCATTACACACGTCAGTAATCAGAGTCATGTATGTTGGTCTAGAAGTCATCACAGAGCTCTGTCATGGAATTGGGTCCAATTGTAACCCCAAAATATGAAAACCAACCAGATAAGAGACAAAAGCCCCAAAACAACTCTGACCCCCTGGAGACCAATGTACTGTTCATTCATGACCGCTATGGGGGGATGGACCTTCATATGGTGTACAGTATCTCCTCCTCATTTGTTGGTCACATGACGTTATATTGAGGAATGGAGATGGACCTTCATATGGTGTACAGTATCTCCTCCTCATTTGTTGGTCACATGACGTTATATTGAGGGATGGAGATAGACCTTCATATGGTGT